GCATACGGAAAATAAAGAGGTGATTGGTGGCAGCCAACATGGCTTCAGTAAGGGCAAATTGCACCTGACAAATTTGGTGGCCTTCTGTGACAGCATTACAGTGTTGGTGGATAAGGGGAGAGCAACAGATGTCATCTACCTGGACTTGTGCAAAGCATTTGATGCTGTCCCACATGACATCCTTGTCTCTAAATTGGAGAGACATGGATTTGACTGATGGACCACACAGTGGATGTCTGCACTTAGAGTTGCAGTCCATGGCTCAATGTCTAAGTGGCACACAGTGACAAGTGGTGTTCCTCAGGGGTCGGTACTAGGTCTGCTACTGTTTAATATCTTTGTTGGCAACATGGGTATTGGGATTGAGTGTATCCTCAGGAATTTTGCCAATGACACTAAGCTGTGTGGAGCAGTCGACACACTGGAGGGAAGGGACGCCATCCAGAGGGACCTGGACCGGCTCAAGAAGTGGGCCCGTGCAAACCTCATGAAGTTCAACCAGGCCAAGTGCAAGGCCCTGCATGTGGGTCACGGCAAACCCAAACGCAAATACAGGCTGGGGGGAGAATGGATTGAAAGCAGCCCTGAGGAGGAGGACTTGGGGATGTTGGTGGATGAGAAGCTTAATACGAGCCAGCAATATGTGCTTGCAGCCCAGAAAGCCAACTGCATCCTGGGCTGCATCAAAAGAAGTGAGGCCAGCAGGTCAAGGGAGGCGATTCTGCCCCTCTACCCTGCTGTTGTGAGACCTCGCCTGGAGGACTGCGTCCAGCTCTGGAGCCCCCAACATAAGAAGGACAACAGACCTGTTGGAGCAGGTCCAAAGGAGGGCCACAAAGATGATCAGAGGGCTGGAGCACCTCTCCTCTGAAGACAGGCTGAGAGAGTTGGGGTTGTTCAGTCTGGAAAAGACTCCAGGGAGACCTTCTAGCAGCTTCCCAGTACCCAAAGGGCACCTACAAGAAAGCTGAAGAGGGACTTCTTACAAAGGCACGTAGTGATAGGACACAGAGGAATGGCTTCAAACTGGAAGAGGGGAAATTTGCATTAGTTATTAGGAAGAAATTTTTCACTCTGAGGGTGGTGAGGTATTGGAACAGGTTGCCCAGAGAAGCTGTGGAAGCCTCATCCCTAGAAGTGTTCAAGGCCAGGTTAGATAGGGCTTTGAGCAACCTGGTCTAGTGGAAGGGGCCCCTGCCCATGGGCCGGGGGGGTGGGACTAGATGATCTTCAAGGTCCCTTCCAATCTAAAACCATTCTACGATTCTAGAAAGCACTGTCCACATTTGGGATCCCAAAGCCTATTATGGTTTGAGTCAGGTAGCTACTCAACTTCTCTTCAACAAGTGCAACTTAACTACATGGAACGAGGAGATTGTGGCTCAAGTAAAAGGATGTAAGGTATAAATACAAGTCACATACTGCAGTGATTAACACCAATAAAAATGTATACTTTACAGTTTGCGAGTTACCAACTGTATTTCTTAGCCACTAGTTTGATGTTGCTTGTTTTGTTTTTTTAATTTTTATGTTTGTAGAAACAGCCAAGTTGGCAAATTCTGCCCAGAAATTATTTTTAGTTTGACACGCTTTACAAAACTAACTTTTAATGACTGAATGACACAGTCACATTGCATATGAATCTTGATTAGCAAATCAACATTTTAATTTAAGGATCATTAACGTAAACTTAAATAGCACCCAAAAAATCATACTGACTGGGTGCACTTTCCTGATTAACCTTTAGTTGCCTTGTTTGGGTAAACTACATGACTCTTTACAAGGTCCCCACATTATGGGTATTTCCATACAAATTAGAACAACAGCCATAACTGCTACCTTAGAAAAGCTTTTAAAATTTTAGAGCACATTAGCTATATTTCCCTTAGAAGAAAGGCTTCATAGTAGTTCCTCATAAGTTACTGTCAGCTACTATCTTTAGCCAATTTATTAAAGAGGCTAAGAATTCCTTCCACCCTTCAAGTGACCTGGATAACTGCTTCTTCTGATGAAAAGTCAATCCAGAATACATGCAAAAAATCAACCTTTCCTTATCCTTTAGTCTAAGCAGAAGACACTATGCAAAACTGACTTAAGATACATTTGGGGTTTGGTTTTTTACTTGGTTGTTTTGGGGTTTTGTTTTTGTTTGGAGTTTAGTGGTTTTGGTGGTGGGTTTAGGTTGTTTTTTTTTTAAAAAAAAAAGTTGGGATAAGAGCTTCAAGTTACTAAGCTTTCTGCCTGTACTATTTTTCCTCATGTTCTGAACAGTGGAAACATATTCCATACATTTTTCCCCAGTTAGGGATTACTGCCTTTTACAAACTGTATAACTCTTGATGTTAAAATCCCTAGTTCATTTGATTGGCTATATTTGATTGGTCAGGATAAATTCCATCAGCTCACATCCATTCTCTACAAATCTCCTAGAAATCCTTTCACAAACCAATTAATTCGATAGTGTTGAATGGTCTGCAAATATGAAAGGACTGCAGATTTTCTAGATGAGGTGTGGATCCTCACATAGCAAGTTTAAGCCAATTTAAAGGCTCTTCTTGGTCCACAAATGACAGGCTACAAATCACTGCTTTTAACTGGCCTAAGGTAGTAGTCACGCAGTGTTACTGGGCTTATTATATGCTACAGATGAAGAAAAGCTGCTGTTGTGAAAACAGTCCTGGGAAGCGACTCCCACTTTGGCAACTATACTCACAGAAGAGTGGATTAAGTACTCCTCTCAACTTGGCTATCTCAAAAGATTGTCAAGGAAAATGGATATTCTCCCAGGTAAAGGAGCTGCTTCCATTCCATCAGCAGAGGACTGAAGAGACAGGTCACAAGTTCAGTACTGAAATCTCATCTTGATCCAAGTACCTTGAGGGCAGTCAAGCACATGGGTCCAGGACATTGTTTCCTGTGAACTGCCATACCAACTTAATTTACTGGCATGGCACAAATATTTCCTGCAGTTCTACGACCAAGGTTTCCAGTGGAAAACTCACTAACATCTGTCATGTACCCTTATCAGAGCTCTGAAATTTGTCTTTGCATTAAGCATCAAGCTTCAGAGCTAAGAAAAATAATTCACATTGCATGTTCAATGAAGGAGGAGGAAGGGCTTCTCTGCTTTCCTCATCTGCCTTCGGATAACAGAGATAAGAGGTCAGCATGTGAGTGGCTGCTAAACTCTTGGCAACCTGTTCTTCTCCCCTGACTTTCTCTCTCTAGCCTGTGACAAGAACCACGTCAGGCTCCAGATGCTGTAGCACTCTTCACACCTGTCTTACAAAGAACAACTAAGGTTCAATGGCACTTGCTGAGAGAAGGCTAGAGGAGGCTGACAGGGGTCATCTGTAGTGTAGCATTGATACAGTGAGACATCCAAAGACCTGATTTTTTTTTGGCCTGGCACCTCCATAATGGGAAATGCGTGTTGTTTGCTGTAAAGAAACCAAGGTACACCACAGACCAAGCTATACAAGAGTTACCACACAAGTCTTTGAGTCAGTTCCCTGCACTGTCAAAAAGTTAGTACCAGCAACTGTAATAACAGTTTTGGAGAATTCTCCCAATCTACCATATAAATCAATAAAAATGGAAAAGCCCTAAAGAAAGTATCTGATGGACAGGAAAGTGTCAATTAAACTGTACCAGTGGTTCTTCCTGGTAGCCTGACTATCCTTAAGCCCCAGTAGTTTAAGTGGCTACAGCTGCAGATGTTACAGAGGAATCAAGCTATATGCAGGCTTGTTTCAAAAACCAAATGTTTGGCTTCTAGTCACACAGAGCTGAAAGGTCCCTGACTAGGAGAATCCTGAAAGTGACTCACTCCACCAAATACTGTGCAGCAGCCACTGGTGGGAAAGCACCGACTCCATAAATTGAACCAATTTATACAATGAGTCCAAGCACTGACTTTATAAATTGAACAATATTTACAATGAGTCCAAACTTTTTGTTACGATATTTACTCTTCCTAGTAAGCACACATTACTATATGAGAAGTAGGCTGTGTTGGCACTGGGCACATTAATGGATTTTCAAGTTGAAAGTTGAGTACTCTTAACTAAATCCTGCTACTTCAGGTTCTCACAATTGTGTTCAAGTCCATTCACAAAAGCAATTAGTTGAGCTGCATGTCTACATAACAGTTCCGAGAATAGATAATTTTACTGTCAGATAAAATTAAATGGCTTCACATTGAAGAGCACACAGTCCATCTCTCAAGTTGATATTTCATGCAAATATAGCAGGGTTTTAACTATCTGATCATAATTATGTTTAGTTCTCTTGTAACACAACAGCTTTAAGCATCAGTAAAGTCAACAAGGACATTACAGGAAACAATATTGATACTTCAGCTGGAATGATCAGCAGTCTCTTCACAGGGCCCAATCCTGTTCCTACTGTAGTCAAGTGACAGGCCCAAACATTCCCAGGGTGTAAATCCCCAAGCCCATCAGCTCCCCATTAACATTCATATATCTACTTTATCATAAGTATAAAAAAAAAAAAGAAGTTACTTTAGCTTCAACACAGCTACACTTTCAACATGTGAGTAGTATTTAAGAAAAGTCTTTTTACCTCTGTTGGTTTGTAGCAATCTACAAGAGTTTCCTAGAAGCAAAATATGAAAGTGTCAGTTTCAATACAGAATTAACAGTAAACATAAACAAGCCTACAGTATGAAACCTGGCAAGGGAGTGGGGAAAGAAAAGGAGCAAGAACCAGGAATCACTGGATGAACTGCTACTGAAAACCGAGTGTTACAGCAAGTCACCTTTGCTCCCTAGGTAGATCAGAATGATTTGCAACAGGACAGAAAGAAATGATGGCTTCTTCCCCCAGGTTGGAAGTTACAAAATCCCTCTCTCCAAGAAAAACTGAGGAGAATCTAAGAACATTTCTCTCAGCAATATGCATGTGAAATCTAGCTTTCTGTGAGGGCACCACAGTCTTTGTAACGCAGAAATAAAGACATCAGCTAGGTTGGGCATTTGGGCGTTCCTAGCAGGGCAGCTGCAGCACTTAGTTTAAGCATAAGCAGCAAAGCTATTTATGAACACTGAGTAAACAGCTTAGGGCCATGCTTCGTGTCTCTGTGGCTAGACCCAATATCTCTGTAGCCAGGCAGTGGGCACTGCAAAAAGGGTGCCAATAGGCACTGCAAATCAGATGCATGTTAGTCACCTCCCAGAAGTCAGCTGAGGGCAAACAACTGCTCTGGGACAGGTTTCCTTCCTTTAGCGCATCTGAAAAGATTACAACAGAGACCCTTATATTGGTTTTATATCTTGATTTAGATATATTTATCTCTATTAAGACTATGATGTTTCTTCTCTTGTCACCCTCATTCTTCCATTAATTAACTTTTACCTCAAGCAGGATTCAGATAATCAGAGAGCTAGTTTGAACTGTATAATTTCAGCAGACAGCTTCTGAATTTCCCTACTAATTCCTGTTGCTGACCATCTTTATCCTTTTGTCAAGCTTTTAGACAACTTACTCCAAGATAACTCAATGGGTTCCAATTTCTAGCTAGTGTAGACAGAGAAAAAATTTCCAGCATCCTAAGCACAAGGGAGGATTTCTGGTTTGTATATGCACACATGTATATTTCTGCTACAGTGAATCACAGAAACTATCTGGTCATCATAACTGATTCTCAGCCACATATTTTTTCTATGTGACTGTTGTTTATTTTATGTTTTCTGTTCCTTATTTTATATACCTGTAAAAATTAGAATGAGTCTAGTCTTTCTCAGCATATCTCCCTATATTACTGGATTCTTTGAGCTTTTATTTACTCTTGTTATCACCCACCTTCCAAAAATGTTTTATCCTAAAGGATTTTTATTACCTTTGTACAGTTCAGTAGATTATGCTAAACTCAGATCTAGGAACCTGTCTCAGTTCTAATTCCATGCTTACAGTGGATTCAGTCAAACACAAGATATGGACCCAGATGCATTAATTCAGCCATGTTCTAATTTAAAATTAGAAAATATTACCTGTAATTTGAGAGCTCTCTCCTCTTCATTGGCTGCATCAAGAAGGTCATCAATATCAATTTCTACATCCGGCATCTCTTCTTCCTGAGAAGCAAAAATTCCCACTTAGTCCATAGAGATATCCTTCAACTAACCTCAGAAGCAGCCTTGTGATAGCACACACAACCCCAGACAAGAAGGAAATCAGTAAGGGACGGTGGCTTGATTCCTTGCTTCCACGCCAGCAAAAGGTCAAGTCCCAGTCACACAGGAGGTAACCGCTCT